AACCCCCTCTTATCTTTTCTTCCTCTCTAAAAATGATATCCAATATTGTATCTATAAAAAATGTATGTGTAAAAGTGGCTTATAATCCTTATATAGGTAGCTCAAATGTCACACCCAATGGTCTAGGCTCCGACACAAGGGCTCCTCCAATGATTACACCATGAGACAACTTTTAATGAGCTGTAAATTGATTTAATTCAGACTTGAGAGGGTTCAATCGATCGAACCTATGCTAAAATCGATCGAACTTGGCTGAGATCTATCAAAATTTGGCTGGATCGATCCTCCCATGGTGGCGCCTTTTTGGATAAAGACAAATCTGAGATATTTTTGAGATATTTTGGGAAAGAGACAAAGGTAGTAGGTAGGATGGTACAATAGGATAAGATAGAATCTTTTCGATCGATCTAATAAATGTTGGATCGATCGAACATTATGGGATCTTTGGATAAGGACAAAAGAGCTTGAATCCATCTTGGAGTGTAAAGATCGATCTATGTCAGATTGATCGAAGAAACTCTGTGATCGATCGAACTTTACTAAACTTCTACCACTTGCTTCATTTTGCTTCCACTTTGCTCATTTCTTTTATTCATCTCAAGATTTGCTTCAATTATGTTCTTATTTGGTTGAATTAGCTTATTTTGGGGATAAGTGTCTGAAAACGGAAATAACATGAAATCAATCTAAAGCGGGAAAATAATATAAATAAAGGTTCTAGAATACCTAAGCTTAACGGGTTTAAATGAGCACTTTTCAGCGCTCATCACATTGCTACTATATATCATCATGTTTTTATGCTTATTACAATATCTTATACATGGATGATTGTTTTGATCTCTCTTCTTGTTAATTGTCCCACATTATTTATTTTCCTTCTTTTTTGTTGAGCTTTATTTGTTAATTTGTAACAAAAAGGGGGAGAAGTGTGCATATTTAAGGGGGGAGAGTTTCTAGAATTAAGGGGGAGATATATAGATATATTGATTTTCACATATTGATATATGTTGATTGTTTATGTTTCTTGATTAAGTTTCACAGGTAGTTTTGTTGTTGAGCTAATGTGCAGATTACAGGTGGCTACATGTGTTGAAGCTTCATGAGGTTCAAGAAAAATTCCGCAATTTATTTATTTATTTATTTTTCTTTGACAATTATTGTAATTTGTTTTTTCTTTTTGGGTAGATTACATGTTGTTTTTAGGGGTTTTGTCACGAAATTGCCAAAGGGGGAGATTGTGAGATATTATTTTGTAATTGGCAATTATCGGAAACAAAATAAGTCCTAGTCGAGTTGTAATTTCAAGTTATTATATCGGGATCGACAGCGACTGTGGAATTGGAAAATTGTTCAAAGTTACGATGACTAAGTTCATTCGAAAAAGGTAAAAACAACACATTTAGAAGGAATCTAGAAAAGTTAGGACACATTCTACACTTGGTATATTTTATAAACTTACCAAAATAGTGTTTTCAGCCTTCAGAGCCTCAGAATTCAAGTATGCTTGACTTGAACAGGTTCAGGCTTTGGTGAACTGATTCAAGGCCTACAAGGTTGGCTCAAAATTTATTTTGTCAATCTTAAACCGGTTCAGCATCCTTGAACCGTTTCAAGAAGTCTTGTTCAGTTTCAAATTTTAGTTTCCTGTTTCATATTTCTTTCCTAATTAGTTTAGAACTGTACCAAGTCCTATGCACGAAATTTTCTATATTTTTAGAGGGAGTAGGACATTTTAAACTCTATATAAACCCTGATAGTCATCTAAGTTTATTCACGACTTTTGCATACAAAATTCAAATCTAATTGAATGTCATCTTTGAGAGATTTTTATTTAGAAAATCAATTTGATTTTATTTTTGAGAGCACACACATAAATATAAGAGTAATTTAGTAGTGTTGTTCTCTATCTCATCGAAATTGGAGTGTAATTTAAGATTCAGAAATTTCAAAAAACAAACTTAATTCATTTTTTTATCAAATTCAGATTAAAAAAAAAAAAAAAGGGTGAAGCGATCACAGATATTACAAATATTATGTTGAAAATCTTTCATGTTTATCTTTGGGTTAGTTCCGCTTCCAAAAATCCTACTATTGCATCTAATTTTACATGTTGATAAAGTGTTAAATATAATTTGAGAACTATTTTATTTATTTATTACTATATATTATTATTTATATATAAAGGCTCACTCGTGATTGTCGATGTTGAGAACCTAAACTTAGTAGAGTAGAAGCAACAATAGATATTAAAAAAAAATTATTTTGAATAGCTTTCGTAATTGCATAGATCAATGAGAACAGGAATGGCGACTTTGATTGGCGGAGGCATTAGTATTTGATAATTTTATCTATTCATCTCTGGACGTATTGATATTTAAAGGCAACTTACTCGTCTCTCCTTATAAATTGTTATTTAATGAAATACAGATAAGGTACAATAGAATTACACACCTTTCCTGTTGCCACACTTTAAACAATGGCTTATTAGGGAAAAATAAACAATGGCTTATTGGCAGACAAAAACTTGGAAGAGTAGAAGCAACAATACATATTAAAAAAATTATTTTCAGAACCTTTCGTATTTGCGATAATTAATGAGAACAACTGAGCAAGAGTAGAGTGACTTTGGTTGGTAGACGCATTGGTATTTGATCATTTTAATTACTTCCTCAGTCTAATAATAATAATAATGTTGTTTTTATGAACTTAACTTTTTAAGAGGATGATTTTTAGTTATTTTTTAAATTTTTTTTTGTTTTGTTAGTAAATAAATTATCAAATTTATTCATAATTGGTTCACATGAATGTGATGGTGTTTTTTTCTATATGTCTAATACAAGAAGATTAAATTAGTAATATTACAAAAATAAATAGTAGTAAACTTTTCAATTGAGATATTATTTTGGGATACCCAAAAATAAAATGGTAGACAAATTTTTTTCTTTTCTGGGATGAAAAGAGTACAATTATTTTTGAATTGGCTCACCCTCTTTCACCGAAGGACAACTTACACCTATAGAGGACATGGGCCGTGATGAATTAGTGCAGTAGTTTTAGGTCACGGGCATAAAAACTCCCGACCCACCCAAAGATGAAATTCACCACTTCATAACATTTTGAGTTGTTTCCACGGTCGATTTCAAACCAAGCCTCAACTAGGGTCTACAGTACCACAATTTCTATATCGATCAACATTGGGCAACCATAATCGTTCATTGAACCTAGCCGAACGGTTCAAAAACATCATTTCAAATCATATTTCTTTCATTTGCACCATTAAATTTCAAGCGGGCTTATCCAATTTTGAGAAAATCGCACATGGTTTCAGGTTTACACCAATTTTATAATTGTAAAACCATCAAATTGACACTTCCATGGTGCAATTATAGTCATTTTATTTAAAATCCTTCAAATACCTCTTTCAATGAGATCACTTTCTTCAAAATTTCAAATCACCATCGAACGGTTCAAAAACATCATTTCAAATCACCATCGAACGGTTATAAATGCAGCAGCCGAAGCATTCCATATCTTGATCGAATATTTCACAAGCACCCCAGGACTTTAGATGGTTTTAAAGTGGAAAGTGTATGTTTTCAGGGGATGTTCTTGGACGCCCTTGCACATCTCATCAAATCTTTGGCAGGAAAAAGAATTAGCCAAATTACTACTGATGATATCAACGTGACTAGAGGTCTGATGATGGATTGAAAATCCTTGGCGGGGTTTGATCTGTCATGGCTGGAGCAAAGGTTCGCTGATGCTACAGCTAGACTTGAGGTCCATTGACTTAATCAAGAATCAGCACGAATTTCGTAGAGATTGCAACGGGTGGCGGCAAAAGCTGTTTCTCTTAGAGCCAAGTGCGACAAGTTGGCCCAAAAAATCTCTTCTCAGCAAACACTTATCGACCCTGCTCTTCGTTCTGGAGATGAAGTTTTGAAAGACTTATTCACTCATATTTAGCGTGACCTTGGCTTCTGAGTCCCTTTTGGCCTTTCCGGGACTTGCAACCCTCTCTTATTTGATGCGCTTTTGAGGACTAAAAGGGCAATGAATGGTGCAAGAATGTGTGTTTCGACGGTATACAAGTATGTTATGATGGACATGGCTGAGAAACTTAGAAGGAATGTAGCTAGCTCACTTGCAGCTCTTTCTTTTGTATTGTGTTTTGTTTGTGTACAAACAACTTGTGATGTGTTCCATGAATCTAAGTGTCTCCATCCAACAATTGAGTATAACTTTTTCCTTTCTATTATGATCCAGCTAAACTGGCTAGGTTGAGTTTGCATCAACTAATTCGACAACCATGTTGTTTGGTTGAGTTTTTCTTTTGCATACCTGCAAAGTGAGAAAATAGTTGCAAACTCATTTGAAGTGAATCATATTTAACACAAGTAGGATGAAAGGATGTAATCCACTAGTTATGATAGGAATTTTTAATGGAATCCTCAGCACCAATGACACTAGTACTTGAGAACTGTGAGTTTTTTAATTTTTATATACTTCTTCGTGTCAACCTTGAACCAATTCTGCATTACTTCCAAAATTGGAATGGCATCAAGATGGCATATATGCTGTTATCGATAAGAAATATCATAGATATATATACATATATAATATGTGAATGTTGCTGCTTTAAGCATTCTATACTTGTTGAAAGAGCTTAATTTCCGCATAATAACCATAAGCTTCTATGTACCTTTGTGCAGAGACCAAAGCAAATACAATTTCTGATTTTCTCCTGCAGTCTATAGAATACAATTTGATTTGATTTCCATACAGCAAGAAGCTCGAAAAGAGAGAGAAGAGTTGGAAGGATGCTTGAAGAAAACTGGAGAAGGGTGGAAGAAGCTCAAAGACTTCTTCCACTGCAACTGTAATTTGAACAAGCTAACTCTAGAAACATTTGACGGTACAATGCGCACCTTCCAGCATAAAGTAGTTAAATCCAACCAGCATTACATATATATATATATATATATAGGATATAGATCTCATATTGCAACACACACTTCTTTATTGAATCATCAATAAAGACATTGGTCTTACAGAATGAACATTAAACACCCCAGAAGCAGACTAGTTAAAGGAAAAAAAAAAAAAAAAAAAAAAAAAAAAAAAAAAAAAAAAACACAAGTTATTGCTTTCTAAGTTGTTGGATGCCCTTGAACTTGGAGGATCCTGTTATTTTAAGAAACAACAGTAGCACAACAGTAAGCAGATCAGTGGATGGATGAATCCAACTAGCTCCCAAGGTCCTTGAACCTGCTACAATGAGTGCACACACAGATATATATATATATATATATATATATATATATATATATATATATATATATATTTATATATATATGGATTGATCAAGCTTATGAATGTAATTAAGGTCTATGCAACAACAAATGCATTTCTTTCCGATTAGTTAATAATCAATGAACAAAAATTTACCTTTCAGTTTCGGAACGAGGGAAAAAATGTTTTAATGACAGTCATAGCCAGTGCGAAAGTTGCGGCAAAGAAAGCCAGAGCAGACCAGGGAGTGTTAAAATAGGTGTGCAATAGTTGAGCTATCCAAGTCCTCATCTTGCTATCATAATGCTTTTGTATTCCATCACGGACACCTTTAATAGGTCCCCATGCCAAAAGATATGCACAGTCTGTGGCTATGGAGTTGAATGCTTTTGCCACTTCTTCATCAGTGCCGTAAAAGTTATGAATGATGTTATGTGATCGCAACTCGATCACATCTTCAGTTCCATTGATGAGTGAATTCATGAAGTAGATGTAATTACATACCTTGGGCAGCATAGTGTCTGAAGTAGGAGCTAATTCATAGGCTATCATGTTTAGAAGCCAATATTTTATTCCTGGCCAAAATGTGAGTTGAGGAAGTGTCAACCGTCCGTAGCCAAACCAAGAAGTGAAAGTGAAGTCGTTAAACAAAAATGTGGTGCTAGGCCTGAAATGTATCCCTCTTGCTTTAAGTTCAGTGGCTGAACGAAATGAGTGACCAAATAAATCCTTGACTGGCTTGATCTTCATATGCCCTCTTTTGGGCCAGCAGGGAAAACGTGGACGGGGTTGGACTTGGTGTAGTACTTTTGTCATGCTGCTGCGTTCTTCTTCGTCTGACTGAGAGTACTGGCCAATAAATCTTCTCCTTATAAGGTCTAGGAAATGAAGGGGTTGTTTTATCTCATCCTTATAAGTTTGTTCTCTCCCCATTGTGTTGTAATCACCTATGTAAATTACGGCAATGAAATCCTCAATCAATCCCACCCAATTGTGTTGTACGTCAGTACTGGTAGTGCTAATCAAGGCCTGGAGAACTAGGAAAGGAAGTTGGTTTTCCATCAAACTGATGTCCTCCATTATGGCACGGTAACCAACCTTACCTACATTTCTAATCACTTGGCTTATAAAGGGCCTATAGTCACTCAGTACGGCAAATATGAAATGCAGGATAAAACAAGCATCAAGGAGCATCATACCAGCGAATTTTTCGTCATCATAGGCACCTGTTGAGCCCTCAAGGTAGCAGTTCCTAGCATCGCTCACCACATCTAGCATCTTCTTATAGATTACATGGGGTTCTACCTTGTTGCCAGCTACGAATCCACACACAGCCCTGGTCTTCAACTTCTCGGCTTCTTTCAACTTAGGATTGCCATGGTGATAGGGACCGATTGAAATGACTCTAGGATCAAAAAATCCCTTATTCTTCTCCTTCTCCCGTAATTCTCTTGGAACCTTCTGTAGTTGCTTGGGTGAAGATGCAGTGCATCCATCTTTAACAATATCAGTTATTAGTTGCTTGTGAAAAGATGAAACGGATCCATCATTAACAATGTCAATTATACGAGCCTCAGTAGCTGTGATTTCACTACCCAATTCATGACCAGCTTGTCTTCTGGACGTCCCTGCCAACTCATCACTTGTTTCCATTTATTTGTTCTGTTTTTGGGCTAAAAGGTAAAGCTGCAAGTATACTGATGTAGAGACACTGTACAACAATGGAAAGGCAGTAACCGAGGCCAAACCCAAACAATAATGTTGTTTCTTGTTGACTTCTATGATGACTTCTATGATGACTTCTATTGATTTCAATAATTGAGGGAGGAATCTAACTCCATCTATAGTAGTATAAGAGGGTTGCGATAAGGTAACCTGTAAGAATAAGCTTGGTCTATGATTTTCTAATTTTGGACACGTGTTAAAATTTTATTGGAGCGCAACAGCTAAACATGACATAATTCATCCTCCTGGAAAGGACCCAAGCTTGTATGTAGATGCATTGGGTCTCTCTTCAACAATGGATCTTATCCACTCATCATTATCATCAGCTGTTAGTTCAACGCCCGATTCATGACTAGCTTCTTTTTTTCTCTTTCCTAGCTTAATTCTTGCAGATGGCTCTATTAATTTCAAAATTCTATTAAATATTTAAAGAAGAAAACTTGAGTAAATAGTAAGACAACTCCTTATTGGAAAACTAAGAAAGTTTAATTTTAAGTAGACTTTAACATTTATTAATTATAATCTATTGACTTCGTTAATTGACTCGGAGGAATCTAACCCCATATTATAAAGGGTAAAGTGCAAAAAACCTCCTGGACTATACTCTCTCTCCCTAAAAACCCCCTGAACTATTTTTTGTACAATTAATTCCCTCAACTATCAATTTTTTTGCAAAAATTACACATGGGCAAAATTCCGTTTGATTTCTTCGGCAATTAGGCGCGTGATGAATACATGCCGGCAATATAGTTTGAAAATGACAAAATTACCCTTATACTACTAAATGTATAAAATAAAAATAAAAAAATCCCAAATTAAAGCCCTAAAAAAATCACAGGCGTCTGTGCGGTGAGGGATGGATTTGAGAAAGAGGTGGTCACGGTCTTTATTGCCGCTGGTGCTAGAGGAGGTCGGTGCCCTCATCGCTGCTGGTGCTAGAGGTGTTCGGCGTCCTTATCGCCGCTGGTGCTAGAGGAGGTCGGCGCCCTCATCGCCGCTGGTGCTAGAGGTGTTCGGTTTTCTGGAAAAAAAAAAAAAAAAAAAAAAAAAAAAACCCTAACCACTTTTGTTTCCCCCTCATCTCTCTCTCCGCAATGCCGTCAGTTCACCCACCTTCTCTCTCAATTTCACCACTGCCGCATCCTCAGCCCACCATCTCTCTCTCAATATCGTCGTCGCGACCTCATCACCGATGTGAACCTGTTGTAGCTACCGAAGTCGCTACCATCATCGCTGCGAACTAGCCACCAGCGCGCGTCTCCATCTCGTTCTTGAAATTTCTTTCTTGTAACAGCCGGCTCGATTATCTGTCATAGTGTCACTATAGGGTTCCGAGCTAGCCGTCGTCCTTGGTGACTATCGGACTGTGGATTTGTGATTTGCCGTGGTCTCACAGATTTGCTTGGTCGCCGATTTTAAAGCTGATTTACTACGGTCCCAAACCACTGCGCCAGTTCTATCTCCTCCCCCGAGCTCTAACCTCCGTAGTTGCCGTCACAACACCACCATCACTAGACCCATCTCCTCCTCCGACTTCAATGGCTTCCTTTTCTGCACTATGTGTGGTGTGAATAAAAGGAAGGCTTGTCCAAAAAACTAAATAAATAAATAAAAGGAAGGTTGGGGTTCGTTTGTGATTGTTGATTGGCTGATGATTTGGTAGGGATAGGATTCCAACTTCTAATGTTGGTGGTGGTTCATTTTTAGGAATACTGTGTTGGTGGTGGTTGTGGGTCAGGCTAGTGGTGGTTGTGGGTCGGGATTGTGGAGATGACAGTGGTTACCAGTGAGAGCCCAACCTCAAACTCCATGATCGCCAGCGCCAACGAGAAACTCTAAGCATCAACAAGGAGCAAACCGGTGAGAGATCGATCTCAAACTCCATGACCGCCGACGAGAAGCTCTAAGCCTCACGATACAATCCCAGTGAGCAAACCAGTAACTTAGCATCAGCATCATACAAACCCAGTTAAATAAACCATGAGCATCTTTGAAGGCCCAAATCGAGAACTTCATTGAAGAACAGTTGCTGGTATTGAAGGTTGCGATATGTCTGCAATATGTTTGACTGGAAAAACTAGGGCGTAGGAGAGAGAGCCTTATGTGTAAGGCCGTGTTTGGGGGTAAAATAATTAAGGTGATAAAGTACTGCTGTGTTGTCAAAATGCTATTGGATTGTTAAGATTTTTTTTTTTTTTTGACACATCAGCCACTTAGGTTAAGACAACACTAAAACAACGTCGTTTCACTAAAGGGTAATATTGTAATCCTCTTTTACCGGTGCCGGAGACTTGTCTACTGTCCTTAACTGTAACTTTATCATAGTTTAGGGGGACATTTGTTAATTCAGGGGGATTTTGTACAATTGGTCGAAAGTCCAGAGGGATTTTTTGCACTTTACCCTGTTATAAACTATGAACTTTTGTCCCACAACAACCATACAACATAATTATATGAAGTATAAACACGTTGCATCGTATCAATTATACTAGCAATTTCTTGGTTCTCCTGCCAGTTGTAGGCGACTTCTGATTTAGGGAGTACAATTTTAAATAATAATAATAATAAATAAAAAAAAACTACCATATATTATGTATAATGAACAAGACTAAATTTTTTTTCCCGGGAAAAGTCCGGTCAAGCAAATAAATAAACACCACCCCTATATATTATACATACTACGTAGTAAAAAACAATATATATATATATATATATATATATATATATATTGTATTATGAACACCACTTGCTAATACACAAATAAACAGGACCCAGTGTTTTACATATAATGAGCATGACCTGTTGAATCTATTTTTTCTGGATAACTTAAAAGTCTTGTCCTGAGCAAGTTATTTAATACACAAATAAACAGGACCCAGTGTTATACATATTTAAAAGTCTTGTCCTGAGCAAGTTATTTTTGTCCGTATATATATATATATATATATATATATATATAACAAGTTGCTCTAGAGAGGAAAAATATAGGGAAAAAAAAAAAAATGAAGAGAAAATTACACATTAGTCCTACTCTTGTACTCTAAAGACAAATAATTAGTCCTACAAAGAAGCCCAACTTTTGATTAAAATAAAATAAAAATCAACAATGTTCTATAACTAATACTGTTCATCTTTTCCCCTATTCATATATTATGTATAATGAACAAGACTAAATTTTTTTTCCCGGTAAAAGTCCGGTCAAGCAAATAAATAAACACCACCCCTATATATTATACATACTACGTAGTAAAAAACAATATATATATATATATATATATATATATATATATATATTGTATTATGAACACCACTTGCTAATACATAAATAAACAGGACCCAGTGTTTTACATATAATGAGCATGACTTGTTGAATCTATTTTTTCTGGATAACTTAAAAGTCTTGTCCTGAGCAAGTTATTTTTGTCCGTATATATATATATATATATATATAACAAGTTGCTCTAGAGAGGAAAAATATAGGGAAAAAAAAATGAAGAGAAAATTACACATTAGTTCTACTCTTGTACTCTAAAGACAAATTATTAGTCCTACAAAGAAGCCCAACTTTTGATTAAAATAAAATAAAAATCAACAATGTTCTATAACTAATACTGTTCATCTTTTCCCCTATTCATATATTATGTATCTTACTTAACTAAATTTTTCTAAAAAATTTTGTGAAAAAATTGATTGAAAAAAAAAAAAATTTAAATTCACATTATATTTGATATAATAAGATAATTTGATAACTTTTTTTAGATAACATTGCCTCAAATTTATAGTGATTTATTTTTTATTCTTGAGTTATTTTTTTAAAAAATATGAAATATAAAATTCAAAATGCAAATAATTTATTTATTGTCCATAAATGTAATGCATGAAAAGTATTTCATCGTATTTCACATGTTGTGAGTACTTACGAAAAGTGAATTTGAAATATGTTAAATGTTTTAGGCTTATTAATTTTGGTAAAAATTAACATATTTTTCAGTAAATAAAAATTAGTAACATTTAAAAAATAGGTTTTAATTATAAAATATTAGAAGTAGAGAAAAAATTTGTATTTTAGTGAAAAAGGCACTAGAGGTACTTTAGTAATATATCTAAATATATTTGAAAATATTTTTACAAAAAAAAAAAAAAAAAATCCAAAATCCTTACCTTAAACAACTAACCTCCGCAGGGTAATCCCTTTATTCATTTTGTGTTTGTCTTAAATGTCTCACTTTCTCTTATAAAAGAGTGGGTAATTTTAATCTAAGTAGTAGTGGGACTTATCAAAGATTGTGACATAATGATGTGTTGTTGTCTTTTTAAAATAGAAGATTAGGGGTTTAAAATTTAAATAGGCGTGTAAGTGTTTCTTGTCAAGGTAAAATAGAAAGAAAAAGAAAAAATTTGAACAAAAAAGCAAAAAAGAATGTAAGATTTGGTTGGGTCTAACTCAAGTAACTCAAGTCCCGCCCACAAATTACATCGATGTGAGCAAGATATTTGACATCATGAAATTGGAATTGAGTTTAAATTTTAGATTTAAAATTTATTTTGAGGGAATTTGGAAAAAAGTTTTACTAAATTAACCCAAACAATTCAAAGAATTCAAAATACAAGAAAAGTTTATATCTTTTTGTATACAATTAAGTTAAAATGAAATGATTTATAGTACCATGGTATTAACTTAGCTTTGAAAAGCTTGCTTTAAAAGTAAAGGGAAAATAATATAATAATTTAATTTTAGCTAAATAAAAATAATAATTTAATTGTAGCCAAATAGAGGAGTATAAGATATTTGTTCTTTTCAAATTCTAATAAGAAGGAATATTAGTTGCCACAAATGTTAAGTCACCCAAATTCCAAAAAAAAAAAAAACAAAAAAGTCTTATTCATCACTTGAGTTGATATGAATCACATGAGTGGCATATTTCATGTAGGGTATGTAATTATGTACAATTCAAATTTAAAAAATCTTAAAATTTATGTGATAGGGCGCGGGTTCAAATGTGATGAATTTTTTGAAATTTGAATTTGCACGTAGTGAGATGTTAGAACCTTGATTCATTTCTTTTAACTTAAGTTGCCATGGCGATGGGGACCGATTGAAACCACTCTAAAAAAAAAAAAAAAAAAGAAACCCTTATTCTCCTCCTCCCGTAATTCTCGGGGACCCTTTGCGGTTGCTTATGCGATGATCCAATGGGTCTCTCTTCAAGAATGGAGTTTCACTTATGATCAACTGTAATTTAACACCCGATACATGACATCTTCTTTTTCCAACCTCTGCCCAATTAACACTGCTCAACCCATCAGCACCTTTTGCCATTTATTGTTTCTTATTTTTATTGGGTGAATAAGTGAATTGTAAGCTGTACATTGAGTAGAAGCACTGTAAAAACAAGCAACCCAAGAGTGAACAAACAATAGAACAATAGAATATGGCTGTAACCGAGGCCAAATGTTGTATTAATTTCAAAATTCTAACAAAAATTTAAATCGCAAGTTTCTGTCACATGATATATAAAATTATGTATGCATCATAATAATATATTGTTATAAACAAGTTGCATTCTGTAAATCATGATGGCAATTTATTTGACCCGACCCTATATAATATGTAATCAACACGACTTGCTAATGCATAAATAAACAAGACCCTATATTTTATATATATATCATCACTTGCTCTGAACATAACTTTTAAACAATCCAGGAGAAAAAATGATTGAACAAGTGGTCAGACAACACTATATTATGTATAATGACCACTTGTTCAATCATTTTTTCTAAATATTTCAATCAGACAACTCTATATTATATATAATGATCACTTGTTCAATCATTTTTTTTTCCTTGGATGGTTTAAAAGTCATGTTCAGAGCAAGTGGTGAAATTTTATTATGTATATATTTTCCTCCAAAATAAACACTGGTTGCTCCAGAGAAGAATAAGATTAGAAAAAAAATCCAACTACTTTATATAATATATTTATGGGAAAAACTAACCACCATAAACTTTTCCCCCATTTTGTTTTTAAAATTTTATAAAAGAGTGGGTAATTCTTGTCATTTTGCCAAAATCGGATCAAGATAAGCTTATCTTCATAATTAAATACACTAAAATGATCCCACTAAGTTATATCATGTGATGTGTATAACCAAAACGAGGGAATAAAGGTAAGTTGGCAAAGATTCCTCCCATTTTTATTTGAAAGGTTAAGCAAATTCATACTCATGTCTTTATTGAGTCTCGAAACCCCGATCTCCTCATGCCCATCGAAGCACTAGTGTCGTCACCGACCAACCGCGTCTACTCCCAGGGGCGGAGCCAAAAATTTATGGTTAGGGGGATCAGATTTGAACTACATAACAAAAATTATAAATCAATTGTAATATATATTTTTTAAAATACTAATCATAATGTATATATATCTTGAGAAAATTCAAAAATGAGATAAATGCAACTTAGGAAAAAAAAAAAAATTGATGTTAGAAAGAAAATTATGGAGAAGAAACTTACAGAAATAAGCATTGTTGGAAAAACATAATGAACTTTAACTCAAAAAAATTATTTTAAATTCAACAAGATTATTCTTAGTTATTAAACAAGGTACAAATACTTATAAAATTTGTTATAACAAAAAGACTCCTCCTACGACAGACATAATTTGTCCAAATAAATCAATTAATGCTACTCCCATGACTTGAACATGAAACCTTAAGCATAAATTCCAAGTACACTACCACCTTAACTACTAACACTCTTGTGACATAAACATAATTATAAATATATATAATATTTTCGAGCTCGGTTTGGACTTCGGGCTTCATCCATATCAATCCAAGCCCAGCCCGAATTGAATTCAGGCTCAAAATATATAGCCCATGCCCAAATCGAAATTAGAAAAATATTGCCCAAGCGCACAAAAATTCGGGCTGGGCTCAAGTTATTTCGGGTTAGGCCCGCCCGAGTTGTAACCCTACTTCCTCTTATGTTGCCGTAACACCTTCTCTGGCGGTGAATTGTTTTGTTTATGTTGTAAGTTCTGGCAGATACTCTGCCACTGATATAAGAAAGTAGTATGTGTATGTATAGATCTGAGTTACATTGAAATTACTCAAATAACCCTTATGGCCTATGAGTTTTTATCCTTTTTATCAATTGAGTAGTGATACTTGTGTCGAAGTGTCAAAGTAAATTGCTTGAGGTACTACTTCTAATTGATCATCTTTACCAACTATAAAAAATTAGTGA